ACATGCTCTGCTGCAATACTCAGCTGTGTTGGCAATCTAGCGGAGCATTCCTAGCAATAGTGAAAAAATGCTCTGCTGGAATGCTCAGCTGGTTACGTGATCTAGCAGTGCATTACTAAATATAGTGTTAGAATGCTCTGCTGGAATGCTAAGCTGGCTAGAAAATGTAGCAGGGCATTACTTAATATAGCGTATAAATGCTCTGCTGGAAAGCTAAGTCGGGCATTACTAAATATAGTGGAATGCTGAGCTGGCAAGGCAATCTAGCAGGGCATTACTAAATATAAGTGTAAAAAATGCTCTACTGAAATTTGCTTCAGCCTGGCTAGGCAATCTTAGCAAGGCGTTACAAAATATAGTGAAAAATGCTCTGCTTGAATGCTAAGCTTGCTAGGCAATACAGCAGAGCATTCCTTAATAAAGAGAAAAAATGCTCTGGTGGAATGTAAAGCTGGCTAGGCAATCTAGCAGGACATTCCTTAATATAGTGTAAAAATGCTGTGCTGGAATGCTAAGCTGGCTAGGCAATCAAGCAGGGCTCTGCTGCAATGCTAAGCTTGCTAGGCAATCTAGCAGGGCGTTACTAAATATAGTGTAAAAATGCTCTGCTGGAATGCTAAGCTGGCTAGGCAATCTAGCAGTGCATTACTAAATATTGTGTTTAACTGCTCTGCTGGAATGCTAAGCTTGATAGGCAATCTAGCAGTGCATTACTAAATATAGTGTTAAAATGCTCTGCTGGGATGCTAAACTGGCTAGGCAATCTAGCAGTGCATTACTAAATATAGTGCAAAATGCTCTGCTGGAATGCTAAGCTGGCTAGGCAGTCTAGCAGGGCGTCACCAAATATAGTGTAAAAATGTTCTGCAGGAATGCTAAGCTGTATAGGCAATCTAGCAGTGCATTACTAAATATAGTGTTTAAATGCTCTGCTGTAATGCTTAGCTGGCTAGGCAATCTAGCAGTGCATTACTAAATATAGTATTAAAATGCTCCGCTGGAATGCTAAATTGGCTAGGCAATATAGCAGAGCATTCATAAATATAGTAGAAAAATGCTCTTGTGGAATGCTTAGCTAGATAGGCAATCTAGCAGGGCATTACTAAATATAGTGTAAAAATGCTCTGCTGGAATGCTAAGCTGGCTAGGCAATCTAGCAGGGCATTCCTAAATATAGTGTAAAAATGCTCTGGTGGAATGCTCAGTTGGTTAGGAAATCTAGCAGGGTATTCCAAAATATAGTGTAAAACTGGCATAATGGAATGCTTAGCTGACTAGGCAATCTAGCAGGGCATTCCTCAATATAGTGAAAAAATGCTCTGGTGGAATGCTAAGCTGGCTAGGCAATCTAGCAGTGTATTCATAAATATAGTGTTAAAATGCTGTTCTATAATACCCAGCTGTCTTGGCAATCTAGCAGGACATTCCCTAATATAGTGTAAAATGCTTGCTGGAATTCTTAGCTGGCAAAGCAATATAGCGGGACATTCATAAATATATTATTAAATTTGCGTTATATTCCGAGCTGGCTAGGCAACCTAGCAGAACATTCTAAAAAATAGTGTGAAAATGCTGTTTTTGATAAGGAATCTTGCGGTGCATTCTGCATTATAGTATTAACATGCTCTGCTAAAATGGTCAGATGGCAGGCTGATTCTGAGTTCCAGGACTTATTGTTGCCAACGTTTTATTGACAGTTTCGACTTGTAGGCACTTCTGAGGCACTCGCAGACGAATTTTTGGTGCCAATAGAAGTAATGATATTTTTTAACTTCTAGGGACCTTAAAGAGACAACTTCATTGTCCTTCGACATTTTGATGGACACTCGCAGACTTTCAGAAATTTTGGTGCCAATGCTGATATTGACAAGTTAGACTTCTAGGGACATTCAATAGTCCATTTTGTTGGTCTGCGACTGATTCTGGGACACTCGCAGACTTTCAGGAATGGTTGGTGCCAATGAAAATAATCATATTTTGACTTCTAGGAACCTTAAAGAGTCCATTTCCTTGGCCTGTGGCGTATTGTTGGACACTCGCAGACTTTCAGGAAAGTTTGGTGCCAATAGAGATGATGGTAACTTTTACTTCAAGGGACCCGTCCGAGTCGATTTTTCTTGTCTTCGACTGATTCTTGGACACTTGCAGACTTTCAGGAATCAGTGGTGCAAATAGAAATAATGACATTTTTGACTTCTAGCGACCCACCACGTTCAATTCACTGATCTGCAAATGATTTTGGGACACTTGCAGACTTTCAGAATTCTTTCATGCCAGTGCTGATATTGACAATTTAGACTTCTAGGGACATTCAAGATTCCATCATTTTGTTGGTCTGCGACTGATTCTGGGACACTCGCAGACTTTCAGGAATGGTTGGTGCCAATAGAAATAATCATATTTTTTACTTCAAGGGACCTTTAAGAGTCCAGTTTCTTGGCCTGCGGCGTATTGTTGGACACTCGCATACTTTTAGGAAAGTTTGGTGCCAATAGAGATGATGGCAAGTTTTACATCAAGGGACCCGCCAGAGTCTATTTTTCTTGTCTGCGACTGATTCTGGCACACTCGCTGACTTTCAGAAATCAGTGGTGCCAATGGAGATAATGACATTTTTGACTTCTAGTGACCCACCAGAGTTCATTTCTTTGGTCTGCGACTTATTCTTTGAGACTCGCAGACTTTCAGGATGTTTGGTGCCATTCCAGATCATGACATTTTTTAATTTTAAGAACCCCGTTAGTCAGAAGCAGAGCATTTTTACAATAAAATGTCATTATCTGCATTAGCCCTTAAATTCCTGAAAGTTTGAAAGTGACCAATAATCAGTCGCAGACCGACGAAATAGTCTCTGGATGGACAAAAGATGTCAAAATTGTAATTATCTCTATTGGCACCAAAAAGTGCTGAAAGTTTGCGACTGTCCAAGAATAAGTTGCAGACCGAAAAAATGGACCTTGGATGGTCCCTAGAAGTAAAAAATGTTATTATCTGCCTTGACATCAAAAATTCCTGAAAATCTGTGAGTGCCTCAGAATCAGTCGCAGGCCCCAAAAAAATGGACTCTGGAAAGTCCCAATAAGTCAGAAATATCATTATCTGCATTGACACCAAAGTTCCTGAAAGTCTACGAATGACTCAGAATCAGTCGCAGACCAACGAAATAGACTCAGGAGGGTCCTTTTGAAGTAAAAATGTCATTATCCCCATTGGCACCTAAAATATCTCAAAGTCTTCGAGTGTTCTAGAAACAGTCGAAGACCAACGAAATGGACTCTAGATGGTCCTTAGAATTCACAAATGTCAATATCTGCATTAACATCGAAAATTCCTGAAAGTCTGCGATTGTACCATAATCAGTCGCAGACCAAAGAAATAGACACTTAAGGGTCCCGTAGACGTAAAAAATGTCATTATCTGCATTGGCACTAAATATTTCAGAAAATCTACGGGTGCCAAATAATCATTTGCAGACAAACGAAATAAACTCCTGAGGGTTACTAGAACCCAAAATAAGCTATCAATCCATTTTTACCAAAATCCTGGAAGTCTTCGAGGATGTCAGTCAAAGGCGCAGACAAAGACCAGGGAAAAAGAGCTCGCAACAAAAAATAAAATTGTCAGAGGCTTAAGGATTACAAGTGGATGCATAAGGAGTAAAAGAGAAAAATATTTACTCTGTATTTAAGAATGCCCTGCCAGCTCGGCATTTCAGCAGAAAAAAAAATACTTTATTTAAGAATGCCCTGCTAGTTTGCCTAAACAGCTCAGCATTCCGGCAGAACATTTTTACACTAATTTTTAGAATGCTCTGCTGGATTGCCTAGCCATCTGAGCATTTTTAACACTATATTAAGGAATGCCCTGCTAGATTGCTTAGCCAGCTGAGCATAACAGCAGAGCATTTTTACACTATATATAGGAATGCCCTGCTAGATTGCCTAGCCAGCTGTGCATACCAGCACATCATTTTAACAATATATTTAGGAATGCCTCGCTTGATTGCTTAGCCAGCTGAGCATAACAACGGAGCATTTTACACTATATTTTGGATTGCCCCGCTAGATTGCTTAGCCAGCTGAGCATAACAGCAGAGCATTTTTCACACTATATGTAGGAATGCCCTCCTAGATTGTCTAGCCAGTTGAGCATACCAGCAGATCATTTTTACACTATATTTTGGAATGCCCCGCTTAATTGCTTAGCCAGCTGAGCATACCAGCAGAGCATTTTTCGCACTATATTTTGGAATGGCCCGCTAGATTTCTTAGCTAGCTGAGCATAACAGCAGAGCATTTTTACACTATATGTAGGAATGCCCTGCTAGATTGCCTAGCCAGCTGAGCATACCAGCAGATCATTTTTACACTATATTTTGGAATGCCCCGCTTGATTGCTTAGCCAGCTGAGCATACCAGCAGAGCATTTTTCGCACTATATTTTGGAATGCCCCGCTTGATTGCTTAGCCAGCTGAGCATACCAGCAGAGCATTTTTACGCTATATTTTAGAACGGCCCGCTAGATTGCTTAGCCAGCTGAGCATTACAGCAAAGCATTTTTACGCTATATTTTGGAACGCTCCGCTAGATTGCCTAGCCAGCTGTGCATACCAGCAGAGCATTTCTATACTTTATTTTGGAATGCTCTGCTAGATTGCTTACCCAGCTGAGCATAACAGCAGATCATTGAATTCCCTATATAAATCGTAATGCCTTTTTCCTTAGCTCACCGTTAACTGCGAACTTCTCACATACTCACATTATTCACTTAGCCAAATAAGTCTAGAAATGTGAGTTCTGTTGAATAATAGTTAAACGATCTAGACATTACTAGACATTAACGCCTCAAGAATAAACGATAGCGAAATTCTATCTTATGATATATATTTTTTTAATTATTTGAAATTTGATCCTTGACTGGTCTCATTCTAGGTACCAGATTAATGGATACACCACAACATATTTTTTAAAAAGAAGTCAAAGAAGGGATATATAAATACCTGTTTCACAATAATCTCCAACATATCCGGTCGCGCATGCGCAGTAATATCCGTGTGGGTGATGAAAAGAATGATGGCATGTACCGCTATTTTGGCATGGATTGTTTGAACAGGGATCAACTATCGATGATTAAAACAAAGAATGTGACAAATGTTATTTACATTGAATTAATTAATAAGCGTTAAATATTATTGCCAAATTCAGGTGATACCTTTCTTTTCTACTGCATTTGATTTGTTAATGTCATAATTAGTCAGTCACTCGCGTAGAAATTGATTACCACTGATAAGTTTAACAAGAAGGCGGGTAAGGTAGGTTGACCGCTGATATCTGACCAATCAAGTAAAAGAAAAATAAAGAAAAGAAAAAAAAGACAAAAAATTGAAACAAAATCTTTTTGATTATAGTTGTTTTCGAATGACCTTTAGAATTCTATGAAGCACTGTCTTTTGTTTAAATGTTCTAACATCATTTCCAAGTGAAATAAAATCGTGACAGAAAAAACTCGTCATTGAAATGCAAGTCGAAAATGAATTGTAATGCAAATATGTTGACTTTTTCAAAACAATCGCCGCATAAGCATTTTGAAATGACGTTTAACCGCTAGCATTCAACTAAACAGAAACAGCAAATATCCTAGAAAATACGATGGCGAAGAGGTGATATTTGCAGTATCATTTTATACTGTGGCCACAACTTATTAAGTTGTAGCCATAAGACAACATCTTGAAGTGTAAAGATAGCAAGTACAAATGTTGTTGCAATACAGCAGCAACTTAGATGCTCCGCGCAAAAAAGATGCGCTCATCACAGTTACCGTACCAAAACACTCACACACAGAGGTCATGCTCTATTCAGATAAAATACTATTGTACATTATTCCGGATGTTTTGTTTTGTTTTTTGGGGGGTTTTTTTTGCATAATTTTACTTATTGAATGCACTGTTCACACAAATAGCTCCACGCCTGTGGGCGCGGAGCATGTGACCTCAAGATAGAAAAAATACTGCAAATGTCACCTCTATGCCACCGTTAGAAAATTTATACAGAAATAAAATAGTACCGATTTCACAACTATGACCCATCCAGCCTGCTTGACAATCGCATCTATAACTGTATTCAGACCCTGATAAAAGGTGATAAGACTTCTCATTGTGACATGTTCCACCATGTTGACAGGGATGACTTGCACAGTGATCTTTTACTGAGATATTAAAAGGGAAATAACATATTTAATAACATAACAAGTCAGTAACTAACTAACTAACTAACTAACTAACTAACTAACTAACTAACTAACTAACTAACTTACTAACTAACTAACTCAGTGTCATGTGATCGATATTAGTGTTTCGTTATTAGTTACTGTAATGTTCTAAATGTTCTAAATAGAACCAGACCCTAAAAAGGGATTGTTTGATAACAAAGACCCGAAGGATAGTTTCTAGCTTTTAATGTTTACTGTACAAGTGTATTATAAGAACTAACTACAAGTATCAGAGAGGCAGAGCATGCATGCATTATACATAGGAGGCGGGGCTTATCATAACTGACAGCAGCGCATACTACAGTTACGAATATCGTTTTTATGTATCGTTTTGTGCTTGTATCTGTATATATATATCTTGTGTATTTGTCTGTTATCTATGTTTCTCTACAGTCTGATAAACAATCCATTATCCCACATTCCTTTATTATTCCATTTCAACATCTTTTCATCATAACAACTAATTACTTATTTTTCATTTCGACATAATTTGCATGCCAGGCCTCAGTTTTTACAAACTTCCCGAAAAAAACCACCTTACGCATGTGCACTTTGATATAAATATTTTTCTAGGTTTGCGCCAGAAATTGTTTGTCTTATTTATTTAATTATCAAGGCGTATTTTATGTCCTTCACAGGTAATTAATGTTATTCATTATGTTTCATCATCATGCATCTTTCTATTGATCGTTTATGCACTTTATATATGATATACATAAAAAATAACGTTTTATTGGAAATTCTTTAGGTAAAGTAGTACTTGAAAAATTATTGGATTCAACAATATTATTACAATGAATACAACGAGGTCGACAGCATTGAGATACTGAACCAACCATGAATTTGGCATTGAAATGAGTATGAACTAAATTGTCTTGTAAATTTCTCGGTCCCTTATAAGCAAAGATTTGTTTGTACTGTATAATTTACGTACACTTTCATTTTTCACATATACACAACACATACAAAGAGGGGGCGAAAATTATTTTAAGTCCTCATTCGTTAAAAGGGGAGGAACAGTTTTGTTTTACTTGAATGAAACATATGGAACGATTCTTACGTAAAAATGGATTTTTCTATTAAAAACTAGAATCCAGCGCAGTGCGTTATTCTGTCTATGGTATTTTTGTTTGTTTGCTTTTTTTATTTTGTAGGTTTTTGTGTGTTTATTCTTGTAAGGCCTTTTAATTGTTAAAAAAGTGACTACAAATAGAATCTTTATATTGTCATTTTCTAGCTACAATAGCATTATAATAGTGAGTAATAATTATTACATGCTAATAAAACAAGATTAAAAGATGACATACATGTTTCACAAAAAATCCCTGTGTAAGCATCTGTGCACCTACATTCCGTGTGCGAATGGTGATTTTCGCAAGTGCCCCCGTGTTGACACGGATTTCTTGAACAATGGTCTAAATAAAGAGATAGCATATCAGTATATCTATACTACATATAATTTAGTGCAATCTATAAATTCTGCAAGAACAAGTTAAGAAAGGCGAAACAAGTTCTTGCAAATTATATTAATCATTTTCCTTATAAGACACTAGTACTGGTTTGTTCCAGGAAGTGGACTCGAATTAATATTCTTTGAAAAGTCTTCCTAACAGTTTTGTTTTGTCCTTTTTTCAGAATTGTTATTGTATTGTTTGATAAAATCAACTATAGACATTTCAAGGTAATTGTTGTATTTCTAAAGCGTACACTTAACATAAGTACAAGGATGTAAAAGACGTGTACAGATGAAAATAATATACACTTGTTTGTTTGCTATACTAAAATACTAAAAATATTTTGATAAATCATACCCACTTTGTTGTAATCAGTAAGAAATCTACTGAATTTAGCTGAAATGTAAAATAATTAACCATGAAGAAATATTATGAGGATATTTTTTCGTTTGAGTGAAATATGGAATATATTTTCACGAAACATGACTAAATACCACATATTTTCACGAGCCGGACGAAAAACGAAAAATAACCTTTTTATTTAATTTCATTATCAACGAAGATTGTTATGAATCCCTTTGCTTGCTACGCAATTGCAATTGTACAGCGCACAGTAATATATAATTGCGTCTTGTTTTGCACGCGATATTTGGCGCTACATTGTGACGTCACTTAAACAACTGTTTAAACGTCTGTACAGCGTTAATAACTGAATTCGGATTTATTTTCTTAGTTAGACTATTTCTATCATTCTAGATAGTTTTCAAAGCAAAATTCAACAGAAAGTTGTTTTGTATTTATCAGATTTTTCAAACAAAATGGCGAAAGAAGTCCCTTAAAATAAATATGACTTTTAACTCCGCCTTCTTTCATATTTATATTTCATATTTATTTTTAAAAAATATGAAATATATTTGACTGATATAGCACCATATTTCATGGGTAAAATTAAATGATTATTATTATATAAACAATTAGTGACACAACTATCAGTGACACGGTGGTAAACATGTTGGAATCCTTGGATCAGCATTCGTGTGGGTTAAAAAATTAAACACTTTTTTCCTGATACATGTAATAACATTATTTATATATTATATATAAATAATGTTAAAAGTATATGAAAGAAGATAAATTGACGTTACTTGGTTTTAATCCCCGACCCTAAGATTCAATGTAGTTGACAGTATTCAAAGCATCTTTAAATACATTTCAAAGAAAAGATAAATGCATTAGAAGAGTTATACATAAACAAAGTGCAGCTGGTTCTTACGTTCAAGCGCTTATCAAGTGGTTGACAAATCAGAAACACCATTTAGGGGGGTAAGGGGACATATTTGAACAATGGCCCCAATAAAATGTATTATAGTTTTGAAATTGCTGAAAACTTTTGATATTTCTCTGTCATTGTAATTCTTTCTTGTTTTTTTTTATTTGGGAAATGAGCAGTATCTTTGGTTTTTTACCCGAAACTAATGTCGTATTGTTGATTGCACAGGCTAATTAGTCATACATGCTATATTCAAAAAGAATGACAAGTCAACATGTATATACATATATTAGGGTTTTTATTTCATAATGTGATCTCTGGAACATGACATGATTTATGTGTATTATAGTGCAAGATACATACAAACTGAGCTTATGTCAAATGGTAGATAACGTATTTGTAAGTCGGCTAGATTTCATAACATTTTATGTGTAAACTGTCACTATATATTTTGGGCTAGAGATTCAGTCGAGCAGTTTGGCTTTGGTATTCCACTCGTACACTTGTGTGTTTGTATTTGTATATTAAAAGTATGTTACATCCGTGAGTTCTTTCTCCGTTATACGACACTAAACATTTTTGGGTAGCTTTGCATGTATTTGTAACTCTCAAAATGGAGATGATTTTTTTTAATCAGGCTTTAACAGTTAACTAGTTGGCGCCAAACAAGTAAGAAACTTTTTATAAATTTTGTGAAAAAATCTAAACGTATGACTGACAGTTCGATTGACATTTTTGAAAAAAAATCCATTGATAGTGTGTAGTAACAATTTTTAAGGAATCGGGCGATTTGTCGGGTTCCCAGCAGCTTCATTAAGATTGCCCACTCATAGTGTAATACCACTTTGACGTGACGTCATTTGCACTAAAAACTTAGCGTTAAAGTTTGCTAATGTTAGCGTTATACTATAGGCGAAATAGAGAAATGACTCTTGTTAACAATTTTACCGTTCGTTTAATATATGTGATCAACAGAATATTTCATTCGTGTAGATTAATTACTTAATTTGTTGAACGAGTTGAATACAACAATATTACGCTCGTCAGAGGCTCACATAATATGATTTTATTAAATTCGTTCAATAAATTTAGTATTAAACCTACACTCATTCAATATCCTCTATGTTATTTATTATATGTTTACCATAGTAAAATTGGTAAAAACTCGCTACTTTGTATAGTTTGTATAGATGTATAACCAGTAATGAATAAAGAAAGATTGTAAAACAAAATAATGAAGACAGTGCATATTTAGTATTAGTTATAAATATTTTTAACAGATTATATGAGGCATATATAAACGGTTGTTTTGAAATATAGCCTGAGTCGTCATATATACGGAGGAATATTTATCACTAATTCATAATACATCAAACCTCCTTTTTATAGAAAAAAAGAAGATTTCATCGTCAATTAATAGCAGCCATGTATATAAAACTATATAAACGTCACGATTATCCAATGAAAAGAGACGTTACAAAGGTGCAGTAATAAATGGTACATGCCATTTGTTTCCCCGGTTGCTGCACCTGCTGTCGACACAAGAAAAACAGCAACTGTAATCCATATGTAATCCATTGAGCTACGACAAAAAGATAACCCACATTATATCATTAATTCTTCGTACCCACATGTTAGAAAATTTTATATACTAGATATACTATGCTCATCTTTGAGTAAAATATTTCAATCGAAGAAATTTATTAAAACCTATAAAATTCTTACTGAATTTATAACTAAAAATGAATAACAAAATACTTTGGAAGTCACGTTGTCTAATACAGGACAAGTAAAGTTGAACTTTTCATAAAAAAAACTGCCAGTTTTTTAATGACACTATATAATCATATTGTGACGACCTATGTGTGTAGAGTTTTGAACATGACTTATTAACTTTGTTTGAAGTCGAAACATGTTTATTTCATATTTATAAAGAGACTGTGTAGCAATCATAAAATTTTCTGATATCAAATTTGAGCCATATAGTATATCTTTAAGTGTGATAGACTATTAACTCAAACGAGAGCAATATATAATTTGATATTTAAAAAATATTTGAATATATTTGATAGTTTATGATATTATAACTTCCTAAATGGGATTGTAACGACTAAATACATGTACTCTATATCTATTCATACATCTGATGTTAAGTGACAGAAAATAACTTCTGAAATCAAATTACGTCTAAATTACTTTAAATTCGTCCTCTGGTTTCTGCAAATGTTAATGCACCGCTAAAGGGCATTAGCCATTTTTCATTAAATGTATGCTGCTTTCATTTAATCAAATTTAACTGAAATTACAAGTTCATTATCTTTTAACAAACTGGGAATAACTTTCAGTAAGATTAAATAATGAAGCGTAATAAATGCAATGTCTTAATAATTAAATATACAAATCTTATTTTATTTCAAACTAAATCTGATTAAATATACTACGTACCTTCACTTTTAAAGTTTAAAAATGATTTTTTATCAAGCAAAGGTTGAAGTTTTATCAGCTTTGAGATAATTTTAGTGTCTAATCATGTACTGTACGTTGTTGAAATAAAACGGCCTTTCATCTTCATAACTCGCAAATTTATATGCATTTGCAAAAGGTAAATAATGTCCTCTTATATGCAATATAAAACCCTGAATCATGTAATATTGAGATTATTAGATTACTAATATTGTATTAGTATTGTACAAAACCTACATTTGACAGTATTTGCATATAATACTCTTTTGTATGGCGTAATGATTTGACTAGTTTAATTGGTGTCGTATGCTGATAAGAGTTTTTTCAAGATATTTTGAATCTTTATCTTGTGTAGTCCTTTTGATTTTTGTACGATACATAAGCGGTATTGGTTAAATGAGGTTATGGTGCTCACAACGAGGATTAAAGCAAAAAAGGGTATATCATCGTTTTTATGAAAACTTTCAGATCATAATTTTCGCTGAAGACTTGTGGGCATCTGTTTTAGGTTAGAATGCACAAAACGTCAAAAGAATCGACGTTTTCAATGTTCAATAAGGCCCAAAGAGAAGTTGTCTCCAGTTTTCCTGCTAACCCGAGTGACTGCGTCGTACGGTATTTCCATCAAATTGTCCATCAACAGGCAATATCTTTACATGTGCATACTCAGAAAACACATCGCTATCTAACTGCATTTCGATATTTTACATTAATGTCTGTAATCTTCAAAAATTATAAAAAAAACTCACTTTGTTTATCGTGTCTTACGTCAAAGATGGGTGCTCACAACGAGGAACGGAAGTTGCTCACAACATTTTTAACCGATTGACATTTTTCACTCGTTGTGAGTTAAACGGGTGTGATCAATTACCAAATTTATGAAAAAAATAAAAGTGTCAATGTGTGACAGCTCTAAAAAATATTGATTTTTAAAGCACACTTTACGTCTGTCTATTGTCATGATTATAATGTATTTATGCCTTTATGTTGATATTTTTCTATCCTTCAAATTGAGCCTAAATCAAAAAAATATAGCTTTTAAAATAATGGCCATTGCGAAACAACTGTGCCTTGCCATGATAGTTAGACAAGTATATCGAGCCTTACAGTGATACCTTTCATATTTCTAAACTCATTTTACTTAATTGACAACTTTAACAAAAAGAAATCATAGGGAAAACTGTACTAAAACAAAGAAACTGATATATTTTGTCCCAGATAAAAATAGGTAAACTCCAAAACTTTCTGAATTATGTTCGGACACTGACATGATGTATTCAAATGTTCATGTTGATTTTTTTATTATTTTATTTATGTTTGGGTTTACCTCTCACAAGCTTTCAAGCTTTACTGGTGGAGGAAGATCTCAGGTAGCTAAATAGTTTGCTCACGTGAAAGAATCAAAAGTCCCTGTCGGTAATCGAACCCACACATAGGTGAACCCACATCGGTGAGGAGCAAGAGGTTTGAATTTAACGATCTTTACTATCTGGGCCCGGGCATCCCCCTCGATGATCAAATAGTTAAGAATCGAACAACAACTAAATACATGATAAGGCAATTAAACATGAAACTGTTTTAGTTTTTCTTAATTGTATTTGTTTAACAGCTTAATTCATTCAAAATTGTGATATGAGCTCATATCTTAAACATAACATAATAGCTGTTTGGATCAACTCCGATCGTACCATCCACTGTAAGAACCTGTGGCGACGCACTGCACCTCTGTTGAATCATCTGAAAGAATGAATGTTTGTTATACAAATATGTCGATACCAGCATGACCTTATGGTCAGTTTTCCATTGTCAAGTTCAGCTGAACTTACAATATTTTACAAAAGATTGATTGTTATAATGATGATTGACCAACAGTTAATAAAGGATTTGCGATAAATTTAAAAAGACTGCCCCTGCCTTGTTTATATATTGACAGTCACAGGTAAGTTTCGGTGGATATTTATAGAAGTTTCCTCAGGTCATGTAAATTGTCGGTCATGAAAAGTATATTATAACATTAAATTGAATTTTTGAAACGTTAACATATTTTGACTTTCATTCTTTAATCTGTTTACTCACTATATACCCTAGGATAGTCATAATGTAATATTTATTAAATTTAAACCATTCTCTATATTTTGGATTTGAAAAAGATGAGCAATGAAATTGTCGAATAAAGTTTGACGGTTTGAACCGGTTGATGCTCCCCGAATAGGTTTTGGACTTAGGAAAGTTTACCTCTTGTAGTTGTGTCCAAAGTTCAAAGTGCAATTATTCCAAAATAAGGCATGGCAGAATTACTGTACTTTGCACTGCTCTTTTACTCAATGAGATCTATCTACCGACTTAGTTTCTTGTTGATACCTCTTGAATTTTTACAGTAATTTCCCGGACAAAGTTCACAGTGTTAAATTTGAAAAGGGGCAAAAACTCCAAAAATGAGGTTTGCAATGCACTTTTATTTCATGAAATCTATGTACCTACAGAGTTTTGTGTTAATATCTCTTGTAGTTTTGTTCTGGATAAAGTTCAAAATGAAGAAAGGAACAAAGGGCAATAACTCAAAAAATTAGACAAGGCATAGTTACGGTTCTTTTGCACTGATCATATACCTTACGGGATCTATCTACTTACAACGTTTCTGGTTCATCTCTCTTACAGTGTCAGAGTTATGTCCTGGACAAAGTTAAAAGTGTAAGGGAATAACCCCAAAATTTAGGAAAGCAGAGTTACGGTTCTTTTGCACTGTACTTCTATTTAATGGCATTTATCTACATACAAAGTTTATTGTTGATGTCTCTTATAGTTGAGAGCTATGTCTCGGACAAAGTTCAAAGTGAAAAAATGGAAAAAGGACAATAACTCCAAAATTAGGCAAGGCAGAGTTATGTTGGTTTTTTTTGCACTGCACATGTACCAAATGAGTTATATCTACCCACTAAGTGTCTTATTCATATCTATTATACTTACCGAGCTATGTCCTGGACAAAGTTAATTATGTAAATATAAACAAAGGGCAATAACTCCAAAATTAGGCAAGGCAGTATTACGGTTTTTGTGCATTACACATTTACACAATGAGATCTATCTGCCAACAAAGTTTAATATTAATATCTCTTGTAGTTTTAGAGTTATGTCCTGAACAAAATTTTCTAAAAGTGGAAATAATTCAAAAACGGGCAGAGTAATGGTTCTTTGGCACTGCACTTCGCCTAAATGCCCTCTACCATGGTGTGCATTTAAAACAAATTATGTCCAAGAGTTTTCAAGTTATGCTCCGGACAAGCACAACGGACGGACAAACGGACAAAGCGGCGACTTTATGCTCTCCCTTCGGGATCATAAAAGTAGGTATAAATTTATGAAAGTGTATTGTATTTAATGTCATAAATACCGTAAAGGATATGGAAATGTAGATTTAAACGTTTATAGCACATAAAAGTATACTTACCTGGAACCCAGAACCGTCATTACTACACGATGTAAGGACTCCCGCTGTGTCTGGCACAACTTGTCCATTGATCACGGCAGCAATCGGTGTGTAAGAGGCAATAGTGTTATTTTTACAATGCGACAATACCTTCAATTATACTCTAGTAATTAAAGCATATGATTATCAAATCATTAACTGTTTACATAAAAGTAATTTTCAACAATTTTTACAGTAAAGTACAAGATGTTCTTGTGTTACTTGGGCAAATGGTAGCCCGAGTTTATACAGCATAATGATTCTCAAAAAACGTCACAAGAATACCCCTACTAAACACTGCTCTTCAACAACAGTTTGGGGTATTTCGTATCGGCATTGGATCCCAGATGATCAGGAAAATGTTCTAGAATCCTCTGATTTTAGGACAATGTTCTGTTAAATCGGATATTTTTGGAAACTGTGTTTACTTGCTTCAGCTTCGTTTGGACTGAGAGCTCTAGAACGGAATTGGCGAGGACTCTCCTTTAAACAGAGCACCAAAAATTGAAAAGCCACTGTTAAGTACATGTGAAGAAATTGAATTCCATTACACTTTTATTGAACTGATCATATTTCAAACATTGTTAATTGTAATTTGCAAGTTCAGCAGGGTAAGGATTCAGTTTGTTTTTTGTTTGTTTGGCTTTACGTCGCATCAACATATTTTAGGTCATACGGCGCCGAAACAGAAAATTATATCGGATGTTACAAACTCAAAGCAACACCAGGGGACAAATCACCTCAATTTCTGGAGCTAAGAGGTGCATAGATTCCAGTTATTCGGACCCATTTAGTCGCTGCTTCTTGTGATTACGCATAGTTAAACGATGGCGGCAAATTTGATGCCACACCTCTCAGCAACAAATGTAAATAAAGGATATAAAATACCTGTATTCCTTTGTACCAAGTAATTGAGCGACCAAGGTAACAGCATTCTATAAGTAAGGCTTCGTTGGTGGCTTTGTTGGTGGTTCCTGGACAAATATCTGTAATGTTGCTTTCAACCGGTCTTAACTTAGCGACAGTTTCTATGGTACATGCATGATCGCAAACACCTAAAGTACCTAGAATAGTTTCACAGTAAAAGAAAACTTTATATGAATTCTAGAAATTTAGTATGACGTATTGTAAGAACTAAAACAGACAATATAAACATTTGACATGAAATTAGGTATTGATGCCTCAATAAAAAAACGGGCATTTACACGGAAAATAATATACATGTAATGCATCATATACAATATATCAACTCTCATTACAATTTTATAATTTTTTCTTAAGTTACTTAGACATATTCTATTTATAATTCTCGAATACAATAGATCTATATGTTACAACCTGCGGTGAAATTTTGACTGTTCAAAAACCCCGTTTGCTTGCACTGAAATCCACCTATTGTGTTAACACAAACTTGGTCGTTGTTGCATGGAGAGCCATTGCATTCGTTGATATCTAGTTTAAAGATCAAATCAACGATTAACCTGCAGAATTAGTTTAATGAATTTGTACCGTTGGACATTTGGAATGGGCGATTAGAAAGTTAAGTTGATATGTTTATAACTATATTTCAAAAGGAAATAACAAAAAACACTTGTACTAAAGGTAGATATATTAATTTATCCTTCGTGTGCACTGCACTCCTCTTGCATGAGATCTATCCAACTTATTTAGTTTTAATATGACATTTTAAATACTTTAAGAATTACGATCGGACAAAAAAGTGGGAACGAAGGGCGGAAAGAGAGTGTAACCATATCTCATGGGGGAGTTAAAGAGACAGTCACTATCTATAGTTGTTTAGGTCCTGAATATGCAATGTTTGAAATTTGGGCGGGCAACATCCAAAGAGGGGATGTGGAACTAAAACAGAAATTTAAAAACAAATAGATGTCGAAATGAACTTATTACGAAAATAAATATAGTATAACTTCTACAAAGAAATAAGAATGAAATGAAATTTTGGTGTTCATTTTAATCTGCAATCTTTAATGCATTATTCATTGGATATTTTATCATTTCTGAACATTTACAAGCACATTATGCCTCGGAAATTCATATTTATTTAATTCTATAGAAATGTCAAGCATTTCTTAAATAATGTTTTAATACATGTAATTGATTTAGAGCATGTTAGATGAAGAAAATATTGCTAAATGTGCGGTTATGTGTCGTAAAGGTTTCAAAGTGTACACAAAATAGTATTTTGAATTCCATACAAAATACTAATTCACAATAATTATACCAACTGCCATAAATGGTAAACTAGTATTTTTCTGAAACTGTAACAAGATACCAAAAACAGAAGGTTTTTTTTTTTTTTTTTTTTTTTTTTTTTTTTTTTTTTTTTTTGAGAAATAAACATGATATAATTTCTGAAGCATAGTGGGTCTTTAATGTGGAGAGTGATTTGCTCAAAGCAAATCGTACACTGTTAAACAAAAGTTTGATTGTTGGTTATTGACTGTTTTTTAATGGTTGCAATCCGAAATGCTTCATTTGTGTTTTGAAGAAATGTCTTTCAAAATACTACGTACAGTGAACTGTATCACCATTTGTTAAAGTGCCCTCACAACAAATCTGGGACAAAGTACTTTTTTTAACAAACAAGGATACGATATTCTGTTGTTTACGGACAACCTTTAGTGTAATGAAAAATAACTGTATGGCATATAATATTATATGGTGGCTGATTTTGGTCATTTCGTGTCTTCGCCCTTCAAAAGGCGAAGGCATTGAATGGAAGACACGATAATATGTTCACTTATCGTGTCTTCGCCTTCGACTTTTGAAGGCGTCGACAAGAAGACACGATATATTTTAGGCGAAATAACGATAAATTAATAGGCGGAGACACGAGATCTTTTTCTATAAAAGTATCGTGCTGTGGTTTGAAATCTTTGTGTCTTCGCCCTATATTTGTCGTGTCGTCGTCTCTGTACCTCAAAGGGCGATAAGAGAGCATATCATGTCTACATGTCTTAGTGTCTTTGCCTACAACCTTTAAGGGGCGAAGACACGAAATGGCAGAAACCAGCCACCATACATATACGATAAAAGCTAGGAATATTACGAAAAAATTAAAAAACTATTTTATACTTGCTTTTCTGCAATATCTTATAAACAATATTAATCAAACATTTATAAACTCAATACCTTGGTCACAGTTAATTCCTGTCCATCCTTTTTGACATAAACAGTTGTACGTATTTGTTCCATTTTTACACGTGGCGCCATTTAAGCACGGAGAATTTGAGCAATAATCCATCGCTTGACTTACTGGTTGTATTCCTTTGTATAATATAATTCATTTTAACAAATATATTTAAACGGATGTTGCGTCATTTGTAATATTTGTCAAGACAAAATGTCGAAAGCTAAGAAAATCCGACGTATGTCAAATTTGACACTTAAAACGAAAACATATGAAAAATTTATCCAAAATTGATTTGCTCAAAATGAAAATAAACAGAGGATATTGAATCAACGAAAGTTCAGTACTGAATTTATCGAACGAGTTGAATAAATCTATAATATGCGAGCCTCTGAGGGTAAAGACATACTAAATGTTAGCGTGACGTATACACTATAGGCGCGTCAATAACATAAAAAAGGATTACTTTCATATGTTGGTGGTCGGATAAAAAGAACATTATATTCGTGTAGATTCAATCTTCCGACGTCCCTTCGCGGCGTGTACGTCGCTCGGAAGGCATAGATCACACCAGATGGGTGACCTAGTTAGGTCACTTAGCTGGTGTGACCTAACCAACGGCGAAGAGTGTGGCCCTAAAGAGAGCTGCTTCTCCCGGAAGAGGTGCCTTTCCTCTATATTGTCTACTGCGTTCAGGAAGCGAGAAACTTGGTCCTAGAGAAGATCTACGACGAAAGACGGCATGAGAAGATCTCCTTTGCGGCTCTACGATCGGCAACGTTGCAGGCGAACTAAGTCCACCGTTGCAGGCTCTACGACCGACCAGCGACGTTACAGATGCCGATAGTCTGGGACATATGGGAAAGCCGGCGCCGAGTATAAACAAAACTAAACACACACAAGTAGATTCTATACTAAATTTACTGAACTCGTTGAATACACTAATATTATACTCGCCAGAGGCTTACATAATATAATTATATACAACTCGTTCAATAAATTTAGTATTGAATATACGCTCATTTAATATCCTCTACTCATGGTATATAAAAGTTTCTATGTCACTAGCAAATGAATTAGAAATATGCCTTCACAAAAAGACCTAAGGCCAAACACTTGTTTAACAATTATACAGACGATTTCCGAGTTTTGTAGTAAGATTCTTCCTTCATCCGTAAGCGAACATGATAAAAAAAGCTTTATGCCATATTTGATAAAGCAAGATATATTAAATATTTATATTAAATTGTGCTTTCTGCAATTCCTTATATAGGAAACATTTGTTTAACAGTACCCTTTTCACAGTTTGTTCCTGTCCACCCAGTTTGACATGAACAGTTGTATGTATTAGCTTTATTTGTACACGTGGCGCCATTTAAGCACGGGGAACTTGAGCAATAATTAATCGCCTGAGTTACTGGTTGTACTCCTAAATAAAAGATGAAAAGGTGACATGGTATTAATCAATTAATTCTGCATCCTTTCATTTAAAAATGTGATAATAATAATAAAAATGAGTGCCTTTTCTCTTCAATGGGCAATTGCTTGTATACAGCTTTGCTCATTTATAAAAACACTTAAATGCTTAACACAGCACAAAGTAATATCCTATATATATGTTTGTATTAATTATATAAATCTAATGTCCTTGATTGTGTTAGTTTAAAGTGACTGAACATACATGTATATCATTATAGATCCCTCGGAGGCATTAATCACAGAAAAATTACATGAAAATTGCGGACGTTGCACCGTTTTGACACGGGTAAGTAGGCATGCACGGGTCGTCTGTGTTATTTATATAGATATATCTCTATATCTAGAAAACAAGCAATTATCATAGTATTGCAAGCAATCCATAAGTCCCCTACCGGTTAGAACCCCAGCAACATTCTGAAGGGTCATTCACTTATGTTTCTTAAACTTGTTGAAAAGGTTCTTTAAAAGTGATCACAGGACACAGTTTTTTATGTACAGACAGACGGACTGAAGGACACTCTAAAGTTATTTCTTTAAGCATTCCTGTTATCAAAATATAACATTTTTAAAAGCAAAATTCTTAAAAAGGAGATAACTCTTGAAATAAAGATGCAAGACGTCATACATGAATTGATGTTAGTGTAACAAAGAACAATTATTAATGAAGGTGTTTGATAATGAATGGGTTTTTTTTATTTGAAGTTAAATAAAGTGAAAAGAATGAATGAGAAAATTCAAAGTTTAAAGAGGAGATAATTCTGGAAATATGGATGCTAGATTTATAAACCTTGTCATATTATTATGATGTGGGAGTTTGAAGAAAATCCTATAATGATTGAAAAAGTTAGAGTTAAATTAACCAATTTCTCGAAAAAAAGTGTAAGTTCAAAAGGGGCATAATCTGGAAATAGTCTTGCTAGAGTATTGAACTTTTTCACAAATGTTGAGTGATAATAAGAAACATAGATATGAAGTTTGAAGTAGATACATTCAGAAAAAAAAAGTTTATTAAAAAAAAAACAATATTTTTCATGAAATTCGAAGTTCAAGGGATGAAATTCTGATAAATTTTATGCTAGAGTTGAAAACCTTGTCACATATATGATGTGGCTTGATGACCAGAAACTTATATTTAAAGTTTGAAGAAAATATCTTAAGAAATAAGAACTTTTTAGTGAAAAAACGTTAAAACTAGAATCAGAAATCTTGAAAATTCAGTCTATTTGTTGCCATAGCAACCAGTATTTTCAATATAGGAAGAAAAGAAAAGAATGTGCATAATCTCCAGACTGTCATCTACTGATATTTCAAGTTTCATAAAAATATTTTCAGTACTTTATGCGTTATCACTAGATCCAGGTTATGAGTAAAATTTGCCATATTTTCAGTCTATTTGTTGCCATAGCAACCAGGATTTTCAACAAAGGAAGAAAAGAAAAAAACTTGCAAAATCTCAATACTGCCATCTATCCATATGTCAAGTTTCATAAAAATGTTTTCAGTACTTTTTGCGTTATCACTGGATCCAGGTTATGTGTAAAATTTGCCATATTTTCAGTCTATTTGTTGCCATAGCAACCAGAATTTTCAACACAGGAAGAAAAAAAAGAACGTGCATAATCTCCATACTGCCATCTATCTATATATCAAGTTTCATAAAAATATTTTCAGTACTTTTTGCGTTATCGCGGGATCCAGTTTTGTGGACGGACGGACTGACTGACGGACGGACAGACAGACAGACAGACGTACGGAGGGTAAACCTAAAGTCCCCTCCAGTAAACCGGTAGGGGACTATAAAATAATCCATCGGAAGCATGAAAAATAGCAATAAAGCATGAAAATAACAGACTCGGTTGAAATGAGTCTGTACACAAGGGATAATGAAATAGTGCAAAATCCCTCACGCCCTCTAACATCGGCTTGAGCGGTACTAAATGTTCAACACTCAATGATCCTGAAGTACCAGAAAAATATAACAACCCTGATGTAAAGTACGGGGCAACTTTTTACAGCTGCCACACGGCACTTGACACCTGCTATTGTAAGGTCAGTAATCAACTCGACGACAGCTTTTGACTTTCAAATTACTTTGAAAATAAGAAGTATATCATTTGTATTTTAAAAAGCAACAAGAGTATTTAATCTAATTTAATATTACAGAGTGGAAGGTCCACACTGGGCACATTTTTTCATAAGTTCGAATGTTGATAAACAATAGGAATGTATCATTTGGATATTCTTAAATTAACATTCTTGAAGAAAATGTGTCGCACAATTGCCAACAACACCCAATACATAGTTTTTTGTGGTTATGTCTGAAACTAAATATTATCATCGTAATTATTAATGTATTAAAGACCTCCTATTATATACTAACTCACTTTCAACGTTTAATCTTAAACATTTGTAATAAGAAGGCTTTAAAGTTTAAAGAATATTTACAGGTTTTATGGTCAAGAAAAACGGTTGAAAGATCATAAAAGACGCTTATATGGCAAAAACGCTAGTAAACGGCCATATAAACGACATAAATGAAGCTAATGAAGCTCAACAAGGTAACAAACTTATAAAGATATTTTCTCAGCTCACACAAACATGATAGGTATTTAATTGGTCAGAAACTGCCACGGAATGTACACTGATCAAAGAAAATCCTGAGATTTAAGACATAACACAGAAAAAAGTTGTTATAATTTCGAGACAAGTTTTATATTACTCATTTACCTATATGTTCACATTTCTGACCGTAGGACCCCGGTTGACATTTGCACGTATAGGTTCCATGTCCGGTATTTATGCATTGACCTCCATTTTGACAAGCCGGATAGAGCGCAAGATCTCTGCAGCACGAGCAACGATCTATATCTAAAAATAGACAGAGCAATGACAAATAAAAGTATTCTGCTTAGATTTTAAATTGCGAAAAAGTAAACTTTTTTGCATTCTTTGTTGTCTTTGATATATTACCTGTGCGACCATTCTTTGTTACAATTTACTTAATGGTCGTTACTTAATTTGTAAAAATGAAAACCATTTGTCATTTACTGTACGCTGATACAATGAAATGTGTACATGTTTTTGTGGGTATAAGCTCCTTTTACTTTCTATCACTGTATGATTTATTGTAAGCTTACACAATTAAACTTGTATCATTTTTTTGCAATGACAGGATGTATATGTGTCTCTACACAGTGTCAGAGCATTTTCAGTCATGGACAGCATCAAAAATACATTTCTGCCTACAAAAGCAGTATTTCCACTTTGGACGCCTATAACATTCTCAAGAAAAGACAAATTGGGTTGATATTTTGCATACGTGACCTTAAGTGACGATTGTATCAATGGAATTTATTAAACTGTAATCAGACTGTGGCGAAATGATAACAAATACATTACAAGAAAAGCATTAATGCAAAGCATCAAAGGACGTCCAAGCAAGAAAAGCAGCAAGTGAAGATGGACTAGTAGACATATCATGACAAGATATTCTTATAAACTTTTCAATGGTTAATTGGTTTTTACCAGAATTGTATATCACTTATGAATGAGCGGACAATTCGAAAAAAAGCAATATTACTTATTGCTTTTTCGAATTGTATGCTTATGTAAAATAATAATCAATTTTGAGAGTTGATCTGTCTTAATTAATTATTGTAACCAAACTAAGTGACAAACAGTTTTTTTGGATAAGAAAATTATTTGTCTGTAACGATATTAAACATCTACTCCAAAACCGGGAGAGACCGTACAATTAACGTGTGATACTATTTGCCGATCTCGAGTAAATCCCGGTCAAATTAGACCGGGAGAGACCGGGAATTACCGATAGGAGACCGACAAAAAGGACATTGCTCTATAAATAGATTTTCGGACTTTCATAATGTTAAGGTCATCACTCTATTTACAGCTTTTACAATAACAAACCATAATAATCCACTGTGTACTACAAAATGATTTATAAAAAAAAAAACGAAGAGCGCAATTAATTGACGGAAAAGATAATTATTTCGTTTGAATATGTTTGCATTGCGAAATTCTCCAGTTGCTATTCATTGTTCGCGACATTTCATTTTTGATAATCAAATGCCCTCATACCAATCGGAATGATCGGCTATTATGACCGACGAAAAGGTCCGAGAAGTCCGCCCTTTCACAAAATCTGATTTCATTCCAAAAGAGGCGTCGCGCTTCGGCACGGACGCCAATAATACCTTTTTTAACATAAATTTACACATTGCGACTATTTACATTAATGTGGCATTTAACGTTAGTATTGCGATATTTACCGGAAAAACATTTTGCGACACTGAGCGGCAAGTGCGACATTAAGCGTCGTTGAGACATTTACCACAAACATAGACTCATAGACTTATTTTTATCTATTTCATATTTTCAACATTCACATTGCCTATATTTTTTTTGTCTCGTTTTTTAGCTCACCAGCTCACCAGAGCCGAAAGCTCAATGTGAGCATTAGTATCAAAGGGGGATGCTCCGGCGTCCGTCGTCATGCGTCAACAATTGTCTTTTTCTCTGAAACTACCTAGCAGATTTACTTCAAATTTGGTCTGTAGCATCCTTGTGACAGTCACACTTGAATTTGCTCATGTCATTCTAATTGGCCCCTTTTAGGGGTCAGCAGAGCTAAAAATAAAAAAACCTTTAAACATCTTCTTCTACAGAACTAATGGATGATCACAAAACTTTGTCTGTAGCATTCTTGGGTAGTCTTTTATCAAGTTTGCTCATATTATTTTTGATTGGCCATTTTTAGTGGTCTCTAGGGCTAAAAATAGAAAAAACTTTAAATATCTTCTTCTACAGAACTAATGGATGGATGATCACCAAACTTTGTCTGTAGCATTCTTGGGTAGTCTTTTATCAAGTTTGGTCATATGAATTTGATTGGCCCCTTTAAGGGGCCACTAAAGCTAAAAATAGAAAAACCTTAAACGTCTATTTCTACAGAACTTATTGATATATGATCACCAAACTTTGTCTGTAGCATTCTTGGGTAGTCTTTTATCAAGTTTGCTAATATTATTTTGATTGGCCCTTTTTAGGGGTCTCTAGGGCTAAAAATAGAATAAACTTTAAACATCTTCACCTACAGAACTAATTGATGGATGATCACCAAACCTTGCTCTTATTATTTTGATTAGCCCCTTTTAGGGGCCGCTAAAATTAAAAATAGAAATACGTTAAACATTTTCTCCTACAGAACTAATTAATGGGTGATCACCAAACTTTGTCTGTAGCATTGTTTGGTAATCTTTTATCAAGTTTGCTTATACACGTATTTATTTGATTGGCCCCTTTTAGGTGCCGCTAAAGCTAAAAACAGAAAAGCCTTTAAACACCTTCTAGTTCAGAACCAATTGATGGATGCTCACCAAACTTTGCCTGTAGCATTCTTGGGTACTCTTTTTTCAAGTTTTCTAATATTAATTTGATTGGTCTCCTTTAGGGGCCACTAAAGCTTAACATAGAAAAGCCTTCGAACATCATTTCCTACTGAAATAATTGATCACCAAACTTTGTAGTTTTCTTAGGTAGTCTTTTATCAAGTTCGCTCATACTAATTTAATTAGCCACGTCTAAGCTAAAGCTTAAATGCCGAAGATCATGGCATTTCTTCAAATTATTGTTTAAACATATGCTCAAATTTAATATAGAATATATTGACATTCCAACACTGAAAAGCAGTTGTTTCTGGTGAGCGACTCAGGGCCATCATGACCCTGTTGTTTTAATATTTGACACAAACCATATCATCCGTTTGTACAGTGCCGAAAAAAGATCATTCTAAAACTAACAAGGAATTACGTTGAATTTATATCCCCCGCCTCGCCGAGTACTGGTTATTACTAACACAACAACTGAAGACATAAGGTTTTATTATTATATATTTATCATAGCGTACACAGTAATATTCTTTGCTCATGATAAACATTCAGGGCAATAACAGAGCTATTACTCCTTGTTAGATAGTAATATCTGGACATGCCAATGAGATGTAAATTTCCTTTTTGTATCGATGGTTCCCATAAAGTTTTGTTGAAATCAATACAGCAGTTGCAAAGAAATAGCAATATTGTTGTATATGCATACAACATAACTAATCAAGGGTCATAACTCTGTAATGAAGAGTAACTGGTCTGAACAATGCAACAAATTATGCACATCTCCTTTTGGTATTAATGATTCCCATAAAGTTTGATTGAATTCCAGCCAGTATAGTTGCAGAGAAGTAGCGCGGAAACGATTAATGCTCTATATCGATACGGCATAACTAATCAAGGGCCATAACTATGAGTTGAAGGGTATGACCGAAACAAGGCGACGACATGCGCATCTCCTCTTGGTATTGAAAGTTCCAATAAAGTTTTGTTGAATTAAAGCCAGTAGTTGTAGAGAAGAAGCGCGGAAACGATTTTTGCTCTATATGCATAATGCATAACAAATCAAGGGCCATAACTCTGAGTTAAAAGAGTCTGACTGTAACAAGCCGAGGATAAGCGCATCTCTTCTTGGTATTGAAGGTTCCCATAAAGTTTTGTTGAATTCCAGCCAGTAGTTGCAAAGAAGTAGCGCGGAAACGATTTTTGCTCAATATACATGATGCATAACTAATCAAGGGTCATAACTCTGAATTAAAAGATTTTAATGTTTCAAGCCGACGATATGCGCATGGTTTTAAAGGTTCACATGAAGTTTCGTTGAGAAGTTGTTGTAGAGAACTAGCGCAGAAACGAAATTCGGACGGACGGACGGACAACATCAAAACAATATCCCCCTCCCGATTCCATCGGCGGGGGATAATAATATACTTTCACTCTTTATTGGCCTATGATGTTTACAATTTGCAATCATGTATTCTTAATAAATATTAATTGGTCCATTTTTAGTCGTAAATTAAAATGTTGTGCGTATAAAAGCACTTTTTTAAATTGTATGCTCAAATGCACCTCAATGGCGATACATAATTATATATTTTCAGAAAGTTATTACCTTGACACGATATGGAGTCCCAATACGGTTTACATATGGAATTCTCTGGAACGTAAAAACAAAACGAGAATTACTTTATATATATATATTTAATGCATTGTTCGTTTTAAACATTTGGTGTTTTCTGATTACTTACAAAATGAGTGTTATACTTGTATTTAAAGTTGGCAGCGAAAAGCTATATGAGCAAATCGATCCAGATCGATTACGGACATAGCATCATTCAAGGAGAAAAAGACATGCAAAACTATTAAAATGGACCAAGTTTGAAGTTTCTGATATGTTTCTTAATTATGTTGGAGAAGCAGGGATCGAAGTCCCGACCTATTAAACCGATGTCTGCTAGCGGCAATTGATTCTACCTATGCGACTTCTGCAGACAAAGATATCCTTTGCCGCGAAATCGTAGTTTGCAATGTTAACTATTCAGTCAGTACATATTTTGTTATTTTTCCTTAAAATGATAAATGGTTTTGTTCAGATTGAAAGGTTGATATGTCCATACAAGATAATAAGCCTGTAAAGAATTAATGACCACAGTATCTACTTTTGGGTTTTCGTTATATGTTTTTATCATCCTTCAAAGGAGGCAACACATCATATTGTCTGGAGTTTTTGTAACATGCAAAAGATGCTAAAACATGTAATACAACATTTCAAAACAAATTTAAAAATATGAAAAGCCAAATGATTAAAATAAGAATCAACTCACCGTCGAATATCACGTACTGGCTAGCATGACATTCCTTGTAACACTTACATAACATACATTCCTCTTTTTTTAATTTAGACGGAATGAAAATGTCAACCAAAAATCTCTCTGACAAATCTACAACAAAAATAATACAGAAATATAAATGTGATACACTAATGCAGACATAAATATATTCAAATCATTCTTTTGTCACTTAAAGCAGCCTTCAGCTTTTGTTTTTTGCTGTTGTTCCGAACTAAGTATTCCATTAATTTTATCTTAGAAAAGTTCATCATATCACTGTTAAGACCGATAAGCCATCTTCAAACCAAGCGTCTAGGGAGCTATGTAATGCGCGTCAGTGATGTTCGTTTCTAAAAATAGAAAATCTGGAAACGAATCTTCCGCTTCAGTAATTCAAAACGTCAGTTATGTTCGTTTCTAAACATCGGAAATCTTGAAACGAATCGCCAGCTTCAGTTATTCAAATATAGGGAGCAGGTCGGTAGATTAGATGTTAAGTATTCTATCTTCTGCATTTTTTCTTTTCCACCTTAATTCTTTTGTGAAGCATTTTATCTGAAAATAACATATTAAACCTTTAGAAAACCAGAAGACCGCTTTAAGTAAAGCCCCATTTACACAGTCAAGGCAATGGCCATAGTATCGCTACGGTGTCTTTAATCGGTGAACCGAATTGTTCCGTGGTGTTTTTCTGAAAAATCAAATAGCGTTTACACATCCCCAACAGAGCCCAAGTGTATTGCTGGTTTAGTACCCGATAAAGCACCAGATATATACAGTAAGTGCCGATGTTAACCAGGCAAAGTCCCGGTTGATCCCGATGGAGACCCGACTAGACACAGTTTCATCACGGTCCATTTCGACTATCGCCGATTTCCCGACGGTTAAGCTACAGGGGGTTGCCGATACTGTCCCGATGAGGCCCTGTAGTGCGCCGATGCTTCCCGGTTCAAGTTTATGAGAATAAAACTGCGTGACCACCAACCGTCATTTGGTAAAAAGATAGCAGAAGGAAAAGGGAACAATGTTGGAAAAACTGTTCTTACAACGTCTACAGAGATTGTGGTACCTTTGGAAACGACTCTGTGAAGGACAGTAAGAAATGCTCGCCTCAGAAGAAATAGCAAAGAATGGCCCTTCTTCGTATTCACTTATCACAATTATCCATAGTATCACTTCAAGTGTTTATATACCTGTTCTTAAAATTATCTGACATCGGCATGAGGTCGAGACGCCACCGCCTATCACCGTTGTTTAACTGGGACTTGCCGGCAATATCTAGGACATTACCGGGTTCAACCGGAGCGTTGTCGCCAATAACCGCAATTTACTCTGGCTCTAGTGTAGCGCTGCCTGTTTTTATCGTGGCGATATCGTGTAATCACCCGGGCTCTGTCGTGATATGACATTGATTATCATGCATCACGGTTTGTCACGGTATAGATGCGGTATAGCTACAGTGGTCCCCGAAAATCCCGATGCCAAGCCGATAGAACACGGTTCTTGGCTTCGTTCCCGGTGGGTGCCGATGAGCCCCGGTTGTATTAAACATTTTAATACAATCGTGGCGATCTACCGGTTTGTCCCGGTTCAACAAGGACTGTCCCGGTACTTTACGGAATCTTACGGCCCTACGCCGGTTTACCACGGTTGATCCCGATGGTGTGAACCGTGGCAAACCGGGAGGCCAAACCGGAACTTGTAAATGGGGCTTACGAATTTGTGCAATCAAATCATAATAAATTTCTAAACACACATCTACCTGAGAAATGTACTAAACGGAAAATTATTTCTTAAGTTTTTGTATGCACGCCGCTAGGACGAACACATATGGGCCTTAACGTCTGCGCAGTAGCTGGTCTAGTGTCTGCTTCATCACTTGCGACGTCTTGTTATACTGCAGCTTCTGCAATCCCGTTCTACGCTTAATTTTTGAAGGAGATTACAACATAAACCAAGACGTGTTCCCTCCCTCCAAACGATTTTTATAAGGCAATTCGTTCAAGTTATAGTTACGACAGGTCAACTTATAGTTCATGGTACTTAGGATTACATGATCATGACCTGCCACGTAACTTGTTGGCGACGAGCAAAACTTGTATGGGACGGATGTTTCTTCCGCCTAAAACGGCTCTATTATTAGCCACGAAAGGTCAATAATTTTTTCTGGCGTTTCATATTTTGACAACAGGGAACGTGTTTTTATTTTAGCCTATGCAACAAAAGAGAAAAAAACATAAAAAATACCCGGCAATCGGGTTTTACTTTGGGGCCCCTGCTATTCTTTTGTTTACTCGTCAATGGGTTTTTTATTATGTCAAGGTCACCCCTACTGTATAGTAAATGTATTTTTTTTATGCATAACCAAAAATTTGTTTAATAATGTCCCAACTTTTCCGAATCGATAGTATTTATGAATTTTATCAAAAAAGTCATGGCTTTGTTTCATTTACATATTTTCTTTCATTAAGGATTGTAAAGGTCAGTTTCACATGACAACATATAATAATTGAAAACTGTATTTGTTTAATAAAAACTGCTTTTGCAGTAATAAAAGTATACATGTATACACAAAAAAGTTTTCTATGACTTCTTGTAAAAAGTCACGATTTTAATACCGTTGCCAATTTTTGCATAAGAAAGAGAAAGAATCTCACGAGAACGTTCCTGTAACATTCCATCTACATCTAGTGCAAGGATGTTATATGTAATGTAAGCGAGGACGATGACAAACTGCATTTCCAAGTTCTGAAAGGAAAAAACCGTGAAATAAAAAGATCTTTTAGAGTTATTACACAACACAACTCCAATATATTTTGCTTACCTTATTTGCTAATTAAAAACGTGATATGTTTAATAACATGTTGCAGATTTTAAAAACAAATCGTATGAACCTTCGCCCTAAATTTGCTGAATAATAATGTCATACAAATAATCAAACCCAAATAAGGTCGACACTCGTGTAAATATTTAAACCAGTGCCACCATGAGCAATAGTAAGTTGTAAGAGGTTTTGTTTCTTTCTTCAGAATAGTGTTTATATGTACATTTATATTCACTTAAATCTTTGAACCTCTAAAAACCTCATATTAATTATAAAGTATTTACTAAAATTACATACCAATCCCGAATTTATCGTTGACAATGTAGGTGAAGAATGCACAAAGATAATGAACTTAACAATCTAAATATAGAAAGTTTAAGATTTGATATAAGTTAAGGTAATTATCTTTGTGATGCCACAATATAAATTAGATTTAAGTTTTTGTAAAATTCAGTGGCGGACCTTCATGTAAGCCAGACAGGCTATGGCCCGCATTTAAACTCTTTAACGTCAGATAAATAAACAGTATTCATTTTTATTTCTACAAATGATTTTTGTAAATGTACAAAAACATGTATAGTTTATCTATAGTACATGAATACTCACTACACGTGTTTTGATTTTAATCACAAATTAGAGAGTATTTAATAGAAAACAAGTGTCAGGTTTCTATTGTTGTTGAGTACATTTTTCAAAAATTGTTTGCATTTTGGGTGAAATTTTTTTTCAGAAAAAAATCCTGGAAAGAACATTAGGGGCAGAAGTGCAGGGCTAAGAAGCACCACAGTATTCCTGTTTTAGACACCTACGTGTGTGATGCAAAAGCAAGAAGAGAAACTGCATGCAAAAGGTTGAAAAGACAAATGTGAATATTATTTACCTGTGTCTGAATTTTCTGCCCTGGTAGATTCTTCAAGTGCTATTGTAACTTCACCATAAAAATGTAGCAATGTCTCCTTCGTACCGACTATTAATATTTTTTAAGTAATATTAGTATTTACAAGTTATAATTGGAAAACAAACTTTCAGCATTCTTTACGTAGTGGAAATCGTATTTGTATCAATGCAAAGAATTAAACAACTGTAATTAACTGCTGTTTCTGATTCAAATGTTAAGCAAAAGAACTTTGGTAGCATTAATGCTTCAATGACGAGACAGTGTGGATAGTGCTATCGAAACTTTTACACCAGAAGGATGAAAAAAATTCAAAAATACAACTGGTAAAATTTAAAAATTTTTTTAGAAAACATTTTTAAATGTTTTTGCTTCCACAATTTTACAATAATTTTTTGTGTGGAAATTTTGGTGCAAAAACAAAAATTTTTTTAATTTTGAGGATCTTTTTACTTTTTACTTCCACAATTATTTTTTTTTAGCATTCATATAAAAAAGGAAAAATGTAAAAAGAAAGTTTTAAATATTTTTTTGTTGCTATTTTTAAAAATTACTTGAAATTTTTATGAATAATGTTTTAAAAAAATTATTATTGGGTCACCCAAATTTTAAAAAAGGGGGATCTTTAAAAAATTATATTACTTTTATATTAAAAAGAGGATACCGTGAGAAGGGGCTAACCCAAATTTCCCCAAAGGCTCAAACCCGAGGACCTCAAACAAAACAAAATTTCCCTACAAAATGCCAAATTTCAATCAAAATCTGCTTGGAAAAGGGCGGGAGAAAGAAGGAAGTATGCGGATTTAGTGTTGTGAAAGAATGTGAATTTTGGGTTAACGTTTTATGTGAAGGGAAAGTCGGCAAGAAGGACATAGAAGAAATTAACTATTATTGTCCAGAACGACAGAATTAATGACAGAATGGCTTAAATGTGTTGTTAAACAGATGAAATGACAGGGACGCCATATTTAACTGTTCTCAGACAATGCATCAGCACAACGAGATGTGAAACTATAGTACATTAAGTTAGCTTTCTTGCCACCAAATACAACTTTCTAACACAGCCAATGGACCAAGGTATCATTCCGACATTAAAGCTCATATATAGAAGCCGTCAGCTACAATATATTCTGTGCCAAATGAAAAGGACTGAAATAATCTCAGATAGATAAGTCAATGGTAGGATACTACGTCATCGCGCACCTCGAAGGTAAAATACAATTTTATTATAAGAAAACGTTCTTATATGTTTCGGGAAAAGTCCGAGTTGGAGCATTCAGAGAAAAACACTTATCCCGTTTTCAGGCCTAAACCAGGCAATAAAACTATAAACTTCTTTCACAATTATCTCAAGTACTATAGCCATTCTTTGGTGTGCTACATGATTTTTAATGCTCTTACGTTTTCTTATAATAAAATTGTATTTTACCTTCGAGTCGACGAAAAAATGGTCCAAGTGGGAGCATTCAACAGGTGCGCGATGACGTAGTATCCTACCATTGTAAGTGTCCTGGATGCTATTTATTTGGTAAATGGTGCGTGGAAAAACATTGGTGTCTCCACTATTAAAAGTGCTTTCAACGACTGTGAAATATATTAAAGTAGCATTATGCTCATATTTTCATAGTCAGGTTAAGCTGAATTGACCTTATATTTCAGAAGATTGAATGTCAAAATGGTTTTTGACAAACAGTTGATATTGGAAAATGATTAGGAAAATATCATAAATCTGTGTAAAATATAAAAAGACTGTCTATCTCGTTTTGTTAACTAAGCGTAATAGGTAAATTCTAATGGATATTTACAGAAATTTCGGTTGGATCTGTGAGTTATTTATTGTTTATGTGCATTTTATTATAAAATTAAAAGGAATTATGACAAAATAAAAACTTATTTTGAGTTCACCCGTTCACTCACTATATACCGTTAGATGGGCATAATGTCACTTTAATTTAAATAATGTTATTGCTTAGCACACGTCCTTCTAATTTAAAGACATTTTGATGGCAACCATTGAAATAATTATTGTAAAGATATGAATTATTATCAATTATTTGTACGTCTCTACATGACATTTTGTTAGAAAAGTCAAGCCCATGGTATATAAGTTGTCGGCTGTAATAATGATATAACTTTGAATAAACCAGTTACATGTATATACGATACAATTATCAGTTTGATAAAATATTTATGATTAATTTCCTATAAAATTCCAAATTTAAATTGATTCAGGCTTTCATATAGATGAAAACCCATTGAATGCATCGACAGAAGTTCTTTTTTAAAATTTTTTTATTGTTAAACCCGTACATTTACACATTAAGTAAATATGAGCTGCTTTAGTTACATGTGTGCCGTTTAAGTTAATATTTTAATACCGTTTAAATTACTTATGTAACGTTTATTTTATATTTGAACCTTTTGATTACATAGGTAACTTTGTACCTTTTAATTACGTTTGTATCGTTTGAGTTAAAATTGTGTCGTTTCTGCTACATATGTACCATTTTAGTGGCATATGTACCGTTTTAGTTACAATTTTGTCGTTTTAGCTGCATTTGTACCGTTTAAGTTTACAATATGTACCGGTATTTTAGATACATTTGTGTGTTTTAATTACATATGGGCTGTTATATAACGTAAATTCGTTTTTAGTTAATATACACTTTCAGCGTATCTACTCCATGATTAGTCACACATATGCTCATTTAGTACATTTACTTTTATTTTTCTTTTTTCAAGTTTTGAAAAATATGAACCGGCTTAGCTACATGGGTGTACCGTTTAAGTAGCTTATATTACCGTTTTAGATTATATAGTTACATATTCGGGGTTTTAATAACATATGTACCGTTTTAGTTACAACCTTTTTACATAATAATTGATATGACCTTATAATTTCATACATGGAATAACAACATATATCCTTTGCATGAAAATAATTATTGTTTAATATTCTTTCCGAAAACTCATCTTTTATCAAAAAAATGAATTTGCATGTTATCAGAACTTCAGTAAGACCAATCTTCAATGTATTATTTGTTTAAGATCCTGTAACTCAATTTTTTTATGTTTTTATACCATTAATATAATACTCAAATGAAGATTTATCAATATTGTAAGTTCTAAAAAGCATTATTTGTTAGGATATTTAATATTACCGAATTTACATTGTGTGTGTGATTAAGTGGAGTGTGTGGTGATAAGAGTTTGCAGGTGTTTCGGTGAGTAGAGAGTGCTAATCGCGATGTGGGTGGAGATAAGTGAGGTAAGTTGGCGGAGTGGAGAGGTGTTCGTAGAGTGGGAGTTAGGCTGGTGATAGATGCGTGAGTGAGAAGTGTGGCGAGGTGGAGTGTAGTTTAAGGCAGTATTTTGGGATTTTGAAATTGATTAAGAAAGAGTGAGGAGTGGGATGGTGAGCAGTAGTGGATTAGAGTGGTGTGTGCGCTTAGAGTGGTGGTGTGGCGAGTGTGGGTGTGTGCGCGTTGTGTGTAGTGAGAGAGAAGGAATGTTGGAGTGTGGCCAGGATGCAGGAGCAGGACGTGCAGTGAGCGCTGGTGACGCGGCTCGGGTGTGGCTGGCGGATTGCGGAGTGGTGCGGAGGTGTGATGCGAGGTTCGGTGGTGTGGTCGAAAAGAGAGAGGTGGTAAGTGGGTAGCGTTGGTGTGCGTGTGACAGGAGCCTTTGGGCGAAGGATTAGGGGCGTGTAGGGAGTAGTTAGAGAAGTTGGAGGGAAGCAGACGTTGCGTTCAGAGGTGTGGTGCGGGCGCTCACGGCTAGTGGTAGTGAAAGTAGTTGCGTGAGGAGTGAGCGAGTTGTGAGTGTAAGTGGTTTTTGCTAAATGTATATTTTTGATAATGCAGACCTTACTTGTATAGTGAGGAGAATGTGAGAGGCGTGATGGATGTGGGGATTACATTGAGTGTCGGATGGTAGTTTGAACTGAGAAGCGAAGCAGAGGCGGATGCATGTGTGTGCAGTTGATGGAAAAGGTGGTAAGTGTGTAGGACAGTTTGAGAGTTCGCCGTGTAAGTGGATATGAGAGGCCGAGTTTGCGTTTGTGTGAGATGTGCAGTGTTGTGCGAGATCTGGTTAGCGTAGATATTACTTACGTGCTCCATTGTTTTGCTTGCCTTCTGAATTAACCTAAAATTTAAGAAACAAAAAACGTTTTTGTGGATGGAGTGTATCATTTTTATAGCAGAAGTTTACATTAAATTATTTAAAAATGTAATTTTCAAAATTTAATCTGCGTTCGGGTTACATGTGTACACGGATACTCTTCAAGAGAACGTCCAACAGTCACATGTTTGTTAATATTACCATTGTTGAAGCTATTAATTGTATCTAACGAATTGTCGGGTGTGGAGTGTGCGTAGAGAGGTGACGGCGGTGTGTTGCGGCGTGAGATTGTGTGGCGCGAGAGTGGAGATAGACTGCGTGCATCGTACGTGTGGCGAAATGCTCGATGACGTCAGTCAT